AAGCAAGGAAAGCCATTTAACTATGCTGAGTTAATCGAGTTATGTTTGATTGAAGCAGTAAAAAAAAAAGTGTCCAGAGAAAATAAACTCATTTAAGTCAGTTAGCTTTTCATTGATGACGGTTGCTGGAAGAGTTGAGGACATTGGGAACAATGCCAAGTGTCATTTTGATTTAAATGAAGCAAATGATTTTCAGTGGTTTTTCTTGGCTTTTGACGGGCTGGCAGATGTTACGGATGCTACCTATTGTTGTCCGAGGGGTCAGCAGTGAGTTTGATGCGAGTGAAGAATTAGCCTCCATAGATAGTCCGCATGGAAGAACTACAGGCAAAAATGTCATCAAAGAAAATTGAGAAAATACTAATTCGGAACAATCTGAAGTGAAATCTGCTAAGATGTGTTACAGCTGATGGTGGTTAACATGTATGTTAAGCAAAAAAAGTCTCGGACAAATTTACGAAGTTGTTTTTTTTTTTAAATGGAAGGTGTTTCAAGTCTGGGATTATTCATCAGTGGTACTTTGAGGAAAATATTTTACCGGTAATTCAGGATGTGGATCAAACCAGTGGTGTCAACACGAACTTCATTTGCTCTTACGCACTTAACCATCATCAAATCCTGTGAGTTCTTTTTTCAGAAATAAAAGTTTAATATCCTGATTCACCCTCCTGTACAGCAGTCTGAGGGCTTAGCAATGGTCAGCCGTTTCATGATGGAATTTTGCGGTCAGGACCAGGATTGAATTTTTTTTTTTGAAGAAGGGCCATCCTTGTCTACCTGACAAACCCTGAAAGGCTCTGCAAGATGGATTGTGTTTCTTAATAAACTCAACCTAGAAGCGCGAGGCAAAACCGCACTTAATGCGAAACATACACCGCAGCAAAGTAACGTGACAACTAGTGTTTGAATCACAAGAAGTGTGAAGCCACATTGCCCATACAATAAAAGTTCAGACAAAGGAGATCTCCTTGTTTATACAAATTTGTATTGGACGTAGTTTCTGAGCTCAGACTACTGGTCCGCGTGTCTTTCAGACCTCAATGCAAGACCAAGAGAGATTTCCGTATGTGAAAGTCAACGTACGCCATGGAAGACCTAATTTCAGTTGGAAGTGGTGGTCAATTTAATGACACGCCCCGCTCAGAGGCAAACACCGAGAGAAGAACCCAACACAATCCGATACAGGCCTCCCCGGCGACACACACGCGCAGTTGAAACCGTGCGCTCGCAGACTGGCAGCCGTACGTGGCAGCGCCCACCAGAAAAGACGTTTTCAAGAAGGAATTCGTGTAAAATTTCACCGCAGACCAGTATTAACCCATGAACCTTTGCAATCCATTTTCACAATAAAGAGTACTGATTCTGAGCCCCAATTAAGCAAAACTGTATCCCCACCCCCCCCAAAAAGAACTCCATTCTTCTCATTAGTAGACAGGCCCATATTACAGAAAAACAAAACAAGGGCAGCCCAGTGAGGGGTCTGCCCTGACACTTCCCATCCCAGGTCAGCACACGGGTTCTGGCCCACCGCCTGTGTCCGCAGTCCTTCCCTCTTTCCCAGCGGCTCCAGGTCAACACACGGACTCATTGTCTCAATCCTACACACACACAAAAGATCTCAGAATCGCTCCACCCATTCCACGGAGAGTGCCCACTAGTCAGATATAAAAATGATAAGGACATGTACCCCAAACAGTCCCAAAGGCAGACGTGGCCTGGAGTCGGGGGAAGGGTGTCCCTGCCGGGCCAGGGCGAGCCACTGGTGACACAACGGGGTCAGGCAGGGGCCTGACGGGAGAGCGTCTGAGATGCAACGCCAGTGACTCCCCCACGGGGACACCGGCCTGGGGAGCCACCCTCTGGTTCTCTGCATGGGGAAGTGGCATCACTGTGAGTGAACCCGTGAAAGGGCGTGGAAGACACTGGGAGAGGGAAGGGGGGCCCGGGGCTACCTTGTTCCTGCCTGGTCAGTGTTCTGCTTCTGCGGCGGCCGGAGCAGCTGTGCAGGCCAAGCCCTCCCACAGCATCCAGGTGACAGGGCACACGGGGGCGCCATCCCTGCCAAGGACACACCCCAGGACAGGGCCACCTTCCCTGGACGTTGCCCAGGGGCCCTCATGGGCCGGCAAGGCCATCCCCTGCCCACTCTCGGACCAGGCGCCATGAAATGCTTTGCAGCTGCTGCTTCTAAAGCATCCCCCGCGCCCCCGCACGGCCCGTCCTGTGTGGGCGCACGTGTGCCCGGTCTTTTCCTGTGGGATTCTCGGGGGTTCGGTTTGGCTGAAGACTCCTGACATGTATAGAAGGTGAATTCCACTTCAGGGAAGATGAGGAAGGTGCTACTTCCTCTGACAGGGCTCGGAAAAGAGGACGCGCCTCTCTCCCATCTACGCCCTTCCCCTCCGCTCTGCAGGGCAGGGCCGAGTCACCGTGCCCCCGTGCCCGGGGCCAGAAGGTGGCCAGAGGGTCGGAGCAGCGGGAAAGCCTCCTCCTGTTCCGCATCTCCTTGGCTCTGGTCCGCAAAGGGTGTTTGCTTCTTCCTATCCCCGGGAGCCAAGCCCGCTGGGGCAAGAGTTTCTCACCCTGCAGGCCATATGCTCCTTGCCTGGCCTTCCTTCTCTCCCTTCCTCTGGCAGTAGAGGGTGGAGGAGAAGAGGTATCTTAAGTTTAATGATTTGAAATATTGGGGTAGGACCCGGAAATGACCCCCTCGGGCTCCCTCCCAGCTCAGTGAGGAGGAAACAGAATGTTCAGACTATTTTTTGGGTTTTGTTTTGGTTTGTTGTTGTACTTGGCAGTTCAACCAGCACAACTGAGCTCTAGGAAATGCAACATTGTGAACACGGGGCCTAGGGCAGAGCCCTGGGCGGAGAAAGCATCTCGCTGTGGGTTTCTGGGGGCAAAGGTCTGACATCAAGGAGGCCAGATGACCTTCCGGAATCTTCTGGAGGCCATTCTCCACCAGGACACACGGACAAAGGCCAGGAGGCAGACTTCCCCGGGGACCAGGCCCAGGGGCGGAGGGGATTTCAGGCAGGAAGGCAGAGGCCACGGTAACATGCACAGGATAATCCGGGACATCCTATGGCCCTGCTGCGCGGGGGGAGAGAAGCAGAGAAGGCGACTCCGAGACTGGGGGCTGTGTGGACTGCGAGGCACGAGCTCCCCTTGGAGACGGGGAGGAACTGGGTGTCGGAGGGCCCGAGAGCAGAGCCCGCGCTGCATTCAGTGTGAGAAGGTGTGACTGCAGGGACCAGAGGGCTGGCTGCGGGGCTGGGGTCTGACCCGTGTGGCCTGGCCACGGAGCGGACCGAGAGAGAGGCACCGAGTGGCTGGGGGGCTCCACACGCCTATTTCTGACCTTTGCAGGAAGGTGTGAGCGTGGCTGTCTGAGGGACTTCCTGGGGATGGGGTTTGGGGTTTGGGGTTTGGGGTTTCGTCCCCCTACCCCATCGTAGGCTGCAAGACACACTTCTCAGCAGCCTTTCAGAGGGGCGTCTCTCTTGCTGAGACCAAGTCCGCACGTCGGCTCCTTTCAAAGACCAGAGAGCGCCGAGTGCTGCCCGGGAAAGCGGAAGCTGAGAAAGTGTGCCTTTTTTCTTTCCTTTTTCTCCATCTACCTCTGCCTCACCCAAGAGTCTGCATGCCCTCCAACTTTCCAGGGTGAGACTCTCCTTTAAAATCCAGGTAACAACCCCTGGCATCCACCTCCTGCGCTGCACAAGGTTCAGGGTCTTTCTCAGCATTGTACGCATTTGGGGGCCGCACTCCCTGATGGGTCTCCCCCCGCCCACATCCCTGCTGCTCCCTCGTCGTTGCTCTACCACCTTTTCCTCCCCGGGGGCTGCCAGCCTCTGTCCGTGTGCCTCCCCGGCATGCGCACACGCCCCGATGTTTACCCGAGAACCACAGACCCGGTGGACTCACCCGGGGAGCAGGTGCCTGCTGGCACCGGACCCCACTGCCCCGGTGATGCAGTCTGCGCATTCGCAGCCGGAACCCAGCCACTTGGTTCTCCCTTAATTCCTTTCCGTGGCATGGAGACAGGGGTCAGAAACAGCACTCTGGAGAGGAAAGCCATGGGGGATACACTTGAAGGACCCCCAAAAGGCAGACCAAGGAGGTGAGAGGAGGAGGCACGGAAGCCGAGGGAGCAGGGCTTCAAGCACGAGTGTGTGGCCGACAGGATCGGACACAGCGGAGGGCTCCGGAGGGCGAGATCTGAGAACGCTCTTGGGCCTAGCAGTCCAGGAAGGCGGGGGGGTGGGGGGGGTCCTTGTCCCAGACCACGCCGCACGCCGCAGGAGAGGGAACAGTTAGAATCAAAGTATTGGGCGCGGGGGGAAGGGGGGAGAATGCAAGAGTGACCCAACCGCCCACCCTACCTGCGGAAGTGAGTGGAGGTGGCCACTTAGAGACCACATTCTAAGATGCTGGCTGCGGAAAGGGGGTGGAGGGGAAACTAGCAACTGGAGGTCAACCAGAGGGCGAGGGCCAGTAAGGCCAAGGGACAGAGGTATTCCACGTTTTCCTACGACGCCTGTACTGTGCATTTACCATGCCGCTGCTGTTTACTTCAAATACCAGACACGCACCCATCTTCCTGACGCCCACTTTCCTTCACCGACCCCGTGACTCCCGTCCTCTGTCCCCTCCCCCTGCCCTGGAAACACACTCACACGCACACTCACACAAGGCATTGCACAGCTGCACACGCCCTGGAAACACACTCACACGCACACTCACACAAGGCATTGCACGGCCGCACACGCGGGGACGACTTTGCCGCCGTCCAGCCACACGGCCGTGGGGAGAACGGTTCCCGGCCTGTCCTCAGACCCCTGCACCATCTGGCCGCACACCCACAACCACAGGAACAAGGGCCATCCGGAACCGAAAACTGTGGCAGGAAAGGTCCCACTGTGCAGGGACTTGGTCAGACTCGAGGTTTCAGTAAGAAATTCTAGAAAAGGTGAAGGATGCTTCATAAGGAACACAAATCAACGGCATTTCCGGTTTTATTTCTTGTTGCGACGACAGCAGGAAATTGTGAAAACAGGTGTGCCTAGCGAGCTGCCCCTCGGGAAGGGAGCAGCGGGCCCCAGCGGGCGGGGGACGGGGCCAAGGCAGTGGAGGCAGCGGCGGCGGCGGCAGCTGTGGGGTGGCGGGGGTGGCAGGGGGCTGGGCCACCTTCTTGAGTCTCAACCCCTCAGAAAGGTGCAGGCCTCCAGAAGTGCTGTGGGAGAGAACGGAGCAGGAGCTTCAGAACCCGGTTTCTGTTTTAATCCATGTGTCAATTAAAGACGATGCTAAACCAGAGACTTTCCTCCGCGCTTCCCCCACCGCTGCAGACCGATGCTCCACTCACACGTCCCCACAGCCCAAGGCAGCACGCGCGGCTGCCCTGGCCCTGGCCCTCACCGGCCTGGCTGACTCCCTGCTCTGGCCTGGGTGACACGACCTCCCCCCGCACCTCATCCCTGACACTGATGGTCCCCCAGCTTCTGGACCGTGAGCAACTGGCGTGTCATCTTTATGCAGATCTGTTTGCAGTGGTGTTCACAGGCTCCTGCATGCACCAGTGAGTCACCACGCTGCTAAGGGCCAAGGGGTCAGCTGGGACAGACGGGGTCGCGCTGCCCTCTGGGGTGTGCGGTCCATGCCAGCGCGAGCTGGCTGCTGGCAAGAACGGCCCACAGCCGGGTTTCCCCGAGCGTATTCCCAGAAACACCTGCGGCACGACTCCCTGGGACCGCGGCTGGTGGAGAGCAGGCTTTGCCACCCTGGCGGCACAGGTGCCACCCGGGAAATCTTTGTTGGGAGGGCTGTTCTCTGCTCCCTTTAGCATCCCCTAACATATAAGAATCTAAGTATCTGCAGGCATTGCCCTGTGTCCCCTAGAGGGCAAAGTCGCCTGAGCTGAGAGCCAGGGAGAGAGAGACTTTTGGCCTTGCCTCCAAGCCTGGACCACCGGCCCCTCCATGCAGCGCTCTGACTCGGGATGGGGCGGGGGGAGGGGGCCTGGCACGGGGAGGCCGTGCGTGCTGGAACCTCAGCATCATCGCCCAGCTAGAGCCTCACAGTGCTCCCGAGTCTCCCAAATGCTTTTAAAAGAGTGAATTACTGGCAGTATATTTTTTCTGGCTAAAGTATTTCTTGAGCACTTGTATTCTCTATCGTTGGTAATTGTGGAAACTGTCTAGAAATCAGAATTTGTCGTTTCTTAATATATATGTGTCACTCTGGCTGGTGTGGCTCAGTGGATTGAACGCCGGCCTGTGAACCAAAGGGTCACAGGTTCGATTCCCAGTCATGGCACATGCCTGGGTTGCGGGCCAGGTCCCCAGTGGGGGGCATACAAGAAGCAACCACACACTGATGTTTCTCTCCCTCTTTCTCTCTCCCTTCCCCTTTGCTTAAAAATAAATAAAATCTTTAAAAAATATGTGTGTGTCTAAATGCATGTGTATATACATGTATACATGCACACATACATGTATATACACATTTACATACATACACCCACATTTCATTTTATTGAATAAAATGATCAGTTTCTTAAAACTCCGTAACAGTCATGATCAGAATGATAAAATTGAGCATATTATCTGCTACTTTCTTTTTTTCTCTCATTCTTTCACCTCATCAGTGGGACTGCACCTTCCGGAGGCCTAGAGATAACACGCTGCCTTCACCTTTTAACGCCCACCTTCCGCCCTAGAGCCGCTTGGCCCTCCCACCTTGACCTTCACCCGCCCGTGCTGGCTTCTCAGAGAGGCCACCGCAGGCGCACTTACGGGAGGTGGAGCACTGCCTGAGGTTAGCCACCGCCGTGAGGTACTCTGGGCCCAGATACTCCTCGTAGGTTGGTCTGCCCCGGAGTCTGGCCAGACACTCGGTGTTGTCGTTGAACAGGAGGTTCTTGGTTTCCGACTGGAACAAGCAGAACGCGCCTGGGCAGCGGCTGCCGTTTCTTCCGAACTTGTTCTGTGTCAAAGGGGCCGACAGCAAGTGAGGGACGAAGGACAGCGCGGGCAAGTTCATGGGTTCTCGAGGCCAAGGACATTCCCCCTGCCCACCTCCGGGGTCAACGCTGGGACAAACAAGGGCCGGAAGGAGCTGAGTTCTGGAGCTGTCCCACTGCCCTGGCCGAGCGTCCCCTGCCCCGTGTCCTCCTGCTGCCCGGGGCCCAGCCGGCAGACCCACCCTGGGTGGGCAGCACCCAGGCCCTCAGCCTCTCTCATCTCCCCTCCTGCCATCCCTCCTTCCTACTTAATCTGTCACCTCTTCCCTTAGAACTTGTCAGGGGTGGGTGACTAAGTGACAGCGGAGGATTTGGGGGACCTGCCCCCAAAGTGGGTCACCAGGGGCATTCTAATCGGCCAGCTCTCCTGGAAAGGCAGTCTGTGTTGGAAACCGTCTCTGCCAGTGATCAGGTCACCTGGTCTCCTGGGGCCACCATCCCCCCTCCACGCCCAGAGTTCCCGCAGGCTGAGCTGGGACGCTGAGCGTCTCCACGGCAGCCGACCTCCCACCGGCCCCAGCACGTGCGCCACCACAAGGGCCCATAACCGCCACTCGGTGTGCCTCTGGGTGCCATTCCAGGGCCCTATCTTTAGAGCACACCCAGAGACATGATGGTTTAATACAAGACTAGAAGTTTCCATGGAGAGTCACAGACTTGAAGGAAACGGTGGGATTTCCTGGACACCACTTCTCATAGGAGGCCTTAAAGCGGCAGAAATTCTGGGTTTGGTGTCTTTAGGGGGGACAAACGTGGCTGCCTTGTCTAGAGCATTGGCCACTCAGCCAAGACTCAGGGCGCATTGAGGAAGCCACTCTATCCGGTTGCGGGGGGGAGGGCTCAGTGGTCACCCTCACTGGCTTGAAGAACAAAAAAAGCGACAAGATTAACCGGGTCTGAGCCGGGCAGTGGGCACAAGGTCAGGGGTGTGAGACTGCCGGCGGAGGTTAGGTCAGTCCCAGAAACCCCAGGACAGAAGCCGAGGTTGTCTTCGCTGAGACTCTGGGTGCCCCCACAGTCTGAAAGACGCAAACACCGTCACTACCAGCTCCGAGCAGAGGGACCGGAAAGGCAGGCTCCGGATGGGCTGGCTGACCTAGCTCCGTGACCGCCCCAGCTGACAGAAGCCCACGCAGTTAGGAGAGGGCAGGAGGCCCTGGCGGTCCCACCTGCTGGTCCAGCAGCACCTGCTCCACGAATGACACCCTGCCGCTCTGGGATACCACGCCGTGACTCGGGGCCCTGGCCAGGTGGCAGGTCTCAGACTCAGTCACAGGCTTCCGGCCGCCGTCCAGGCACAACAGCTCGAAGTCGTCCAGCTTCAGATCCCGAGCCCACGCTTCGGTGCTCCTTCCTGGGGAGGGAAGAAGGTAGCGTCAGGCCAAGGGCCCTTCCGGGTGTCGCCATCCACTGGCCTCCTGAAACGCACGCCCTGGGGTCTCGGGGATGCGAAGGACAGAGAAGAAATCACCGTCCCGCACACGCTGTGCAAGCTTCAAACACCCTGAGTGTTAACGCCGCATCCACGCGGCGGGCTGGAACTCAGCCAGAGAAAGGAGTGGCGTGCTCGCACACGCCACAGCACAGGTGAACCTCGAGAGCGTGATGCTCTGGGAAGGAAGCCAGTCACAGAAGGCCGTGCAGCGTTCCATCCCCCGGAGCAGCCTAACCTAGGGAGACAGAAAGCGGATGCATGCCTGCCGGCTACGGGCGTGGGGAAGTGACTGCCGACAGCTACAGGGTGTCGTCTCTTCCTTTTTCTTTCTTACTGAGTGCCTGTGTTTTCTGCTCTGAGCATCTCCAGGGCTGACATCAAGGTGCCGGCCAGGCCGAGTGCTCGTGGGGATGGGGGTTCCTTTTAGGCAGGTTCGTGAGCGTTCTAGAATAGGGCCGTGGTGGTGGATGCACGGAAGACCTCGGAGCTGTACACTCTGAACAGGCGGGCTTATGGTACGTGAATTGTGTCTCGATAAAGCTGTCCAATTTTTTTAGCTTTTAAAAAGAAATCCCTCCCTCTGTGCCATATTTTTTTTTCAGTGAGTTCCAGAAAAAGAACAGCTGGTTTCTGTTCAAGGAGAAATCATTTCCTCTCTCCTTCCCCATTCAAGTGTTCTCAGTGGGACCAGAGAAAAGAAGGAAACTTTCTGGGTTTCTCCAATGTATTTAGTCAGTTCCAATAAAGTACAGTTGTAAAATCCTGCAGAAGTTTATGACTAAAGTTGACGTCAGATCCCGGGAGATCACTTAGGTGCATGGTTCATAAATTCTAAACGGAATCGCATGCAGGTCTGCGTGCGTCCAGATGCAGGGTCATGGCTCAGGCCCCTGCTTCTCGCCTGCCGTCTCCCCTCCAGAAAGCACCCCACCCCTTCCTTCTGTTGGCTTTGTCCATTTGATACTGAGGTCATTCCACATTTACATGGCTGGACTCGATCCCTCTCCCAAAAGACGTGAGGAGGAAAGAGCCGCCGTGACCGTCGATATCCTTGAAGGAAGGAGGCAGAAAGTCGGGCAGTTCTTACTCAGGGGACGCAGCAGCAAGGCCCCTGCTGCGGAGGAGGGGGGGAGGGGTGCTGAGTGGGGCCAACGGGAGGGGCACCGTTGGGGGCCTTGAACTTGGTCACCGTGGTTTTCATTCAGAGATGCCCAGAGAGAAAGCGGTTACTCAACATGGGCTGGGGGTTCACCCTCCAGCATCCGCCGCTGCCTGCGATTCTGGCCCCCGTTCACTCCCAAGGAGTTTCCAGACGGGGACTCACATGGGGCTGAATGGAGGTTCCCCACTTCCTTTTTAAAAGGGAAATTTTATTTGCGTAAGTTTGTGTTTTTTGTTTGTTTGTTTGTTTTTGCAGTATCATTCACATTCGGTCTCCCATAGGCTGGGGCAGGAAGACGTATGTTTCTGTGGTTGTCTAGACAAAGCCGGGAGACATTTGCTTTGGAGTACTGCTGGGGTGTGTGTGTGTGTGTGTGTGTGTGTGTGTGTGTCTGTGTGTCTGTCTGTCTGTCTGTGTGTGTGTGTGTGAGAGAGAGAGAGAGAGGGGACTGTTTCAGGATCAGTGTGACACTATAGACATCACCATGTCGCATCCCAAAGTAACACATCCTGAGACTAACGCAAGGGTCTGGAAAACCGTGTGCCCTCTTCCCCGCCGCCAGCAGGACCGTGAGGAGGCGCCGCGAGGCCGCAGCCTCTGCGCCGAGGGGCCGGGGAAACGCGCTCGCTCACCGTTCGTGTTGTCCAGGACGGTGGAGGCTTTCACAAAGGCCACGTCTCCGGCGTTCTCAGCCAGGCACCTGGAACGTTCCGGAAGATAAAACACACGGCCGGAGAAGAGAAACTATTAGAGTTTTCATAGACGTTTGCAATAGACATTCCAAAATCTGAAACATTGCAGTAAACTTGGAAAAGATAAAGACAAACATTTCCGGGACCTTGCGGTTTAAAATAGACTGAACACATATGTGTGGCTTCCCTCCTTCTAAAGCCCCAGTAAAATGACATTTATGGGGTGTTTTTAAAGCTATACACGCGTGAGAGTGAGCGGTGTGAGGACGGAAAGACAGAAGACAATCACGACCACGGATGGAAGACAGAGAGGAAATGGATGAGCGGTAATCGGCCCAGCAGAGCAATGAAAAGCCGTGGCACAGCGGAGCCCCAGAGAGGCTCAGGAACCAGAGGGCCGTGGAAAACGGCTGAGAACAGGAGGACTGGATCCAGCCTCCACAGGCGCCTCTAAGCTGCCCCCGTCCCGTGCAGCGCCCCCCTCGCCCTGGCAGGACCGGAGGTTTGTTCACGGGGAGACTGACCCTGAGCGCCGCTGTGGACCAAAGAAGCAGGCACAGCTGAGGGCAGAGCCCCCACACGGAATCCAGGGACGGAGTGGAAATCTGTAACCTGGAAACTCTACTCATAGCCCCTTTACTTCATTAGCTCTTTGATCATTTCTGTACTCGTTTTCTGGTTTCTCTTTACACTTTAATCCTTAAAGGACAGACTCTCCTGGATGACCGCCTAATTTTCCATCGATTTATATTTTTGTGTTATTTGCCCTTCTTTCCCTTTTAGCGTCTGAGGTATTCGCTCAGTTGCACAATCTCACCATGATGTCATTTTAAAGAATTTTTATGGTTATTTTTGTACTTCCTAAAAGCTCCGTTGGCAGTCTGGCTGTTCCTTTTTAGATCTTCCCCTTCTCGTTTTGTGAACGCTGCACCCCCTTTCGCCTCTTCAACGATGTTAACTGCGGCGTAAATAAAACAGTGTTATGCTCTCTCCTGTATCGTGCCTGGGTCCCCTGCCTGTCCTTGCTCTGGTTTCCATGCCTCTGCCAGTTCTGCCAAGAGCCGGGGCTCTCCGGCGGCTCGTCCACTCTAAGAGAGAGGCACCGGCGTTGTTAGGTCTGCGCCGGCCGCCACGTCCTGGCGAGATGGGGCCTCACTCCTGGGCAGCCGACTGGTGGCGTTTCACTGTGGGGCATCTGTTACCTTTGTGCAGCGCGTACAGACCCTTTGCACACTGAGGGAAATAGCTTATTAGAACACACACTCATGAGACTAATATTTGCATATTCATAAGAATCTAAGCACCAAAGATGACCTAATCTTGCTGAAAGGAGCTGAGCAGGAGCGAAGTTTGGGGCTGTGGGCAGAAGCAGCACAGGAACAGAACGAGAGGCCAGGTCTCCTCCTCCCTGAGGAGGAAGTCGCCAGCCACGGCCGAGAGTGAAACATGAAAAGCCGGCCATGGGCAGGTGTTAGAGACACAGAGGTGAGCAGGACTTCTGGTTCCGGCTTTCAGTTTGAACAAGAGGCAAAGCGTGGTGTTCTGATGAGAACCTTACGTGAGTTTTTTCAGTGGCAAAGAAGCAGTCCCCAGTTTTCTACTAAGTTAATAATATAATAAACACCAGTGAATGGGAAAAGTAGATAGTATCAGGGAGAATGTCTGCCAGAGAAGTTTCCAAATAATAAAAAAGTAAAAGTCAAAAAAAAAAGGGCAGACCCTGGCTGGCATAGCTCAGTGGATTGAGCGCAGGCTGCAAACCAAAGCATCCCAGGTTTGATTCCCAGTCAGGGTACATGCCTGGGTTGCAGGCCATGACCCCCAGCAACCTCACATTGATGTTTCTCTCTCTCTCTCTCTCTCTCTCTCTCTCTCTTTCTCTCCCCCTTCCCTCTCTAAAAATAAATAAAATCTTTTAAAAGAAAAGAGGAGCAAAGCCTTTTCCCCAAGTACAAATAGGGATGCTGAAGACTAGGTGTTTCCAGGGAAATCATACCTTGCATAGGTTTGGGGAAAACAAACAAACAAACAAACAAACCCTGAATGATTCCTTTGGGTTTTTATCAGAGATGTGTCTATTCAATATTTCTGAGTCAAATCCCATCACAACTTTTCCATTTGCAAACCCTTAGTCCCTGAAAGATAGGTTTGCACATTCACAAAATATTTTTTGAGTCACTCAGAGTGTAATATTGTAAAAGCTCGTTTTGTATCATCTCCTCGCTAGAGAGAAGGCTACTGAATTCATAATGTAGCAAGTTCGAAGACCACAGTCCGACCCCTGTCACTCTCAGACACATGGCGCCATCTGGTGGCGAGATGCATTCTTGGAGAAAAGGGTGGGAGAGGGCTCTGTCCTTCAAACCCCTGCCTAACAAACGCAGTACGTGCCCAATGTCCCAGTGAATGGGGTTACAAAACGTGGGTGGTGGATATTCACTGCAAATAATTCTGAAAACCTATTTTGGGGCTATTTTCCACTTCACCCGTGGAGAACAACACCGCAATACTGCTTATCTTCTTTGTCGTGTCCAAGGCCAAAACCAGAGAGAAAAGTGGCATGTGGAACACAATGGCAGAGTAGGGGGCAGGGTGGTGACTGTGGAAAAAACAATTCTTCCCCCACGAAACTGAGCTGTAGATAGGACTTAAGATACCGCCTGCTCTCTCCGTCTGACTTGGGGATGAGGACGTGGCACTCCACTACTAAGGCTGGCTTTGCCTCCAGGAGCCGGGGAGGAGCCCATCAGAGCCGAGATCAGACAGCCCAGGGCCCGCCTCCACTTTCTGGGGCGGTGAGTATGGCCGGAGGAGCCCTCATCGGTGCTGCCCATCAGCAGACCACCAAGGGACCCCTGGCTCTGCTGTGACAGGCCAGATCCGGCCCCTTAGAAATGCAGGGGGCACACGGCCCTGCCGGAGCTGGAGCCGGGCGGTAGCACTCACCTGAAAGCCCCGTTGTAGCTGTAGTACCTCTCATTGCTGTTGGGGGCGCACTTATCCTGGCCCTGCTCGTTGCCAATGCACAGGGCGCAGAGGTTGGAGTTCGGGTCTGCCCCAGGGGCGCAGCTTTGACTGAAGAATTCACCTGCACAGGAGAAGCACGGGAAGTCAGCTCTTCCTGCCTGAGTCAACGTGTGCGGCCTCTCCCTAGCAGGGGACGCAGCTTGGTGCGGGTTCCTTCTGTGGCCCAGAACAGAGAACAGTCACTGTCCCAAGCGGTGACACACACCTCCACCGCACCAGGCTCAGGGGAGCTGGGGTGGGGCTTAGGCACGGGGTGGGGCGGGGCTTAGGCACGGGGTGGCGAGAGCGGGGATGGGCCCCGGAGCAGGTGGGGCCGGAAGCCTTGAGGTCCTATTCTCCTCCCTCCGCTGCAAGGTGGACCTAGAAGTCGGTTCTGTTGCAGTAACCGAAGTCACATGGGGCAGACAGCGCCTTTTCCCAAATTCGGAAGCCAGCGCTGCTGAGGAACTTAGACCTGGAGCACCAGGAGGTAAAAAGTACCGCCTGTACCGCTCAGAGCCTGCACCCGTTCTTAGGGTGCGGAGAAACAGGTGGACAGGCCCGCGTTTCAGCTCGGAGAGGGGTGCCTGCCCGGGGCATGCTCGGCTGTGCAGAGAGCCAGTGCACGCCGCAGGACGGAGGGCAGCCCGCCCTTCCCGGAGGCTCCCGCCCCCCAGGATGCCCGCCCTCCCCTCTCAGGGCTCCTCACCGAAGTTGCAGGAGCCTGTCTGGTTGAAGAGCAGACCCACGGGGATGTTCCAGCCTGCCGTCCTGCCCACACCGGTGTGGCAGGACTTCGCGCCCCTCAGGGAATTCCAGGTGAGGCCGGCATTGGATTTCTTGACCACCGCCACAGCACGATACCCTTGGAGGACAGAAGAGCAAGTCTTAATCTCCGGGGGGGGCCTGCCATGTGGACGCTAGGGCATCTGTCTGCACCTCAGGCCAAAGCAGGTCAGGACGCACCCTCCGCAACGGCCCCCCAGGGAACACATTGTGAGGTGGACCAGAAGGCCTACGCTGCTGTCCCATGTTAGGGTGAGACTAACTTGGGCTGGGAAATGAGACAGGAAGAAAAGCCGGTCGTTCAAGTGATTTCTGCGGACCGTCCTTGACTAGCCACACTCTGTTGCTAAGTTTTAAACCAGCACATCCACCCTCAGGTGTGAGCTACTAGAGCAGTAAACACTGAGCATCCAGCGTGACCCCAGTAGCGCCCAGATCCCCAGCGGCCACATGCTCCGGGCCAGAGCCATGGCGGCCACCGGGCGAAGGGCTGTCTGGATGCCGGGGTGTGTCTCCAGGACCGCCCTGTGTGGAGTCCTGCACTGGGGGGGGGGGGGGGGGTCAGTGCGGCGACTGTCCTCCTCCTGCCGGTGCACCTGACGGACTCCCGCTCTGGGCTGTGCAGAGATCTTCCAAGGCCGAGCAAGCACCAGCTCTGGGGTGGGCGGGGGCAGTTGGGGCTGGGACCAGAGCACAGGAGTCGCAGGAGAGACAGAAGCTGCCCCAGCGTCGTCATCTCTGCCCGTGAGCGAGACCCAGGGTGCTCCGGGAGGCAGTCTGAGCCACCGCGTCCGCATCCACAGAGACATGGGGGGTTGTGGCACCTCTCCTCCCACGCGGCCGAGACGTGGCCAAGTGTGAAGGTCAATGTAAACATCAGTGATGAGCATCTGTGAATTATCTGCATCTCCAAAAGAACTTTGGCTGCATCTCTTTCTGTGAGCTTTTTTTAAGTTCCTGCCGCCTCTTCCTCCGGCAACAAGAACTCACCCTTGACCCCGAACATGACTCCAACTCACCTTCCGTCGGTGTATTCACGCAATCCAAGTTATTGCCTTCTCTGGGTCCTAAAAGAATAAAAACAAGCAAAAGGTCGTGGAACATGCAGATGTGTTGGGAAACCGCAAACTGCTGTATCTCAGCCGTGGGGCATCAAATACAAAGAAAGCGTCCCGGTGGTTCCAGGCAGCAGACTCGAGTCCACCGGTTCACCGGAAGGCAGACACGGGCATTCGCCGCGGCACTGTTCACAACACCGCCAACCAGAAGTCACGCAGACACCCGCCCACAGGCGCAGAGGTCAGGAGCCGCAGCAGAGCCACACAACCGAACGCCACACAACAAGGCTGGACGTTCTGCAACCACGCACCCCACAGAGGAACGGCACGAATCCAACACTGCGCGAGAGACACAAAACGGCCCGTGTGTGCAGCCCCTTCCCCGTGGAGTTCAGAAAGAGGCAGCGCTGACTGCGCCCGTGGAGGCCAGGAGTCGTTACCCGCGCTGGAGCGAGGGGGCCGGTGACGGGAGGACACGGGGGGACTCGGGAGACCAGCTGTGTCTCCATCTGGGCACGAGTGCCTGGGGCTGCGCCCGTGTGTGGGAGGTCATTGAGTCGGACCCTTGCTCGCCCTTTCTGCACGTATGTGATACTTCACTAAAAGCGTCTCAAAAACTAAGAAGAGGGGCCACTGTGCCCGCAGCCACCGCCACACCACCGAGCTCCAGCGGAAGGAGGGGGATGTGCATGAAGAGGGCTCTACCCCAGCGATTTTCAACCTTTTTCATCTCGTGGCACACATAAACGAGTTATTAACATTGTGCACCCCCTGCCCCGCTTGAGGGGTGCAGGACCCTCTTCATTACAGGCCCGGCGCCGTGACACTCCACAAAATTGGACGTTTTCAGAAGTCCACTGAATGTCTGATTCGCAAAGTTTCCCTCCCGCCAGTGTCCGGTGCGGGAAATTGCTCAGGGCTTCAAAAACAGGTCTGCGCTTCCAGAGTGCAGCTGCTCCTGGTGCCTTGCAGGGGCAGGTGGGGCGCCTTTCGGAAGACACCCACCTCTGTGCTGGCGACAGACACCCAGCCAGGGAGCCCCGCAGGCGGAGCACGTTTGTAAGAGTCCACTAGGGCAGGAAACATTTCATTCTTAAAAAAAAAAATCTCTGCTTCCTGTCCTTGGTAGCTGTGCCTGCTAGGTATTCTGTTCCCATGGGGTCCAAAGGGGCCTGAGTGTAACACGGCAGGTGGAAAACAGGGGCAGGATCGGGTGCCGGCTGCTCTTCCGTTTCATTCGTGTGTGAATTTTCAAATACACGGCCGGCACCATGACGCGTTAATGCGAGTCCAAATGCTTCAGTGAACACGTTTCGGCACTTCGACTTTGTAACAGTTAGAAATGAACCTGTTACGTTTTTGTGGACGATGCCAGCATTTGGATTTTAAGACAAATAAAAACAAGTAAATTTCAAGTACATTTCTTGTGGATGGCAACTGAACGGTGTTGGTAGCATTTCTACCCTACAGCTGATTCCACCCATTTACTACTACACTCTTCCATGTCGTCCTCCATGCAAACACATGTCTTTAATGTCATCTGTCCTCTGTGCTGTTCCTGTCCGCTGCTGTTAAAACACCTTAAACTATCAAACACGGTTAAGGAGGGGAAGCCATTGTGTGCTTCGTCAGGTGACACACTCTCGAGTTCAAACGTATCCATCCTCCTCAGTGTCTCCCCCCCGGACCTGCCGTGGGGGACGACCCCTCCACGCCCCCATCCCATGGCCCAGGCGGAACGGACCAGGGAGGACACGCCCCCCACTTACTTTGGTTCTCTGCCAGCACCGGCACCAGACCACACTTGCCGGCGACGTAGATAAATCCTCCGTCCAAACTCAAGGCATCGGCCTCTCCTTTCTGCAAAGACAGAGCGCATCTCGGCATCACAGTGAGGCTGTCTCACGCCCCGCCTGTCTGGACAGTTCTCTGCGAGGACGGCCTTGTGTCAACCGTCCAGCTGAAGCAGCAGAGGGAGGCGGGGCGGGGGGGGGGTGTTGGAACGGAGCACCTGAAGGACACACGTGTGCTATTGGCCCTCGGCCACCCCCAAGAGCCTTTGATGCTGTCGCTTCCGCTGGGAAGACCAGGCCCAGACCGCACGAATGCTCCTCCGTGCCCTGAAAGGAGCCCTTCCTGCACTCCGCACGCGCGTGGGGCCCCCTCCTGGGCCAGCCTCCGGCGCTCAGGGCACAGAGGGGGCCAGCTGGCTATGCTCGGAGGACCACGCAGAAGTCGGTTGACAAAGAAGCAGAAATTTCTAATCAAACTGGCTCACTGTTAGGATGGATGAGCCCATGCTCCAGCCCGGGAACATGGATGTATCGAGATCCCAGACTCCCCCTTTGGCCCAGTAATATGTTTTTTGCAAAGGTACTGAAAATAACTGGAGACATGCATGAAGATTTCTAGTCAAGGATGCACATCCCAGGGTCATCGATGATGACAAATGAGGGGACAAAGAGGAACAGGGTCACGACCAAGCCACGTCCTCACAAAAGGCACCCTGAAATCGTTGTTTCAAAAGCGTTTTCAAAGACCCTGCATTCACGCGGGGAAAAGGCCATGATACACTGTTAAGTGAAAAGAACTCAGAACCCACCTAGCCAGTGCGGGGAGCCAGCGCCGTGGCCAGCCTGCGCACCGATGCCCCCAGAAACCCTCGGTGGGACACTGCCCAGACTTCCACTGTGGTGTCTCCGTGTGTGAGATCACGCCTGGTTTCTGTTATTTATTTTACGCCACACCTTTCTATGTTCTGAAGTACCTGCAGTCACTGTGAGCTGTTCTTATAACCAGAGGAGCCGTGAGCCCACAGGAAATGGCTCTTCAACAGGAAGCTGTGCCTGCAGGCACACTGTGCGCCGCCCCGGGGAGCCCTTCCAGGGCCCACCCTGCCTGACCCCCCAAAAGTGCCTCTGTAGTGCCCAGGCCCTTCTAAGCAGAAGCCCACGACCTGGGGTCTTGCGCGGAGCCCCCGGCCCCACCCGCACGCGGCGCAGGCTCCCCCGCGGGTGCGCCCCTACCAGCACCAGGGCGATGCAGTCCTCGGTGTTGGCGGCCGTGGCGCAGGTCACCGTCCCGTTGCTCTGGCTGCTCCACTGCTGGCACTTGCGCTGCTCCGCTGGGCCCACCGCGCACCACACGACCCGGGCCTGCCGGGCCTCCACCTCCGCGGCCGCTGCGCGGGGACACTGCGGTCAGCAGGGGGCTGCGCCTTGCCCCGGAGGCCCCGACACCCAGCTCTGCTCACCTCCCTGGGGCCCAGCTCCACCCTGAGTGCCCTCCCTGCCCGACCGCCCCTGCTCCCAGACGGAAGAGCCTTCCGCACCCGCCCCGCCCTCCCTCCACTGTCTGCACCCAGTGCCTTCCTCAGGCAGGGTTGCCCCCTTTGTTTCTGAACCCCGTTCTTCTCCTGGCTTCTAACCCACCCGCCTGTCCTCAGTATGACAACTCGCCTAATATCTCAGTCCCACAGGATGAAAGCTCTGGAACGGGGAGACAGCAACGGCCCCCAAGAGTCCAGCTCAGCTCCGACCTCCCCGAGAGCTGGCAGTCACCACCAGCAGCCATGGTGCAGCCTCAGGGTTCACCAGACTGCACCCCAAGCCCCCTCAGGGGAAGGACCATGGCCGCGCGGGCCCACTGTGGCGCCCTGAGCCCAAACCAGAGCCCAGGCACAGGGCGGTGTGTGTCCGGGCCTCTGGCCTCGCCCCACCAGGGGCCCTGGCTCTCCTGGCCCCTGTCCCTATGTCTCCCTTCGTAAGAGGAAAACTGATTTTTCAATCAGGAGTCTGGAGCCTGAGGCTCACAGGAACATGTGCCAGTATTAACCACGTGGCTGACACACGCGTGTGGAGACTCTCCCACGTGTTCAAGTGCCTTTACTTGGTCAACAGAAGGCACCTGCACCTGCATCAAACACAACCTCGGCCAAGACGTCCAGGGGCTGCGACTTGGGGGAGTGACCACTAGGGGGCAGGGCCCCACTGCCCACGCAGCGGTGGGTGTGTGACCCGCTCTCCCCGCGGGACTCAGCCGCAGCTCACCACCTCGCCGCCCGCGCCCTCACTCACACTCCCTCAGGTTCTTGATGGCGGTGAGGTAGCCGGAACCAAGGTACAGCCCAGCGTCCACCTTGGAGGGGATCCTCAAGAATCCGAGGGCGTTATCTTTGAAGAGCAGGTCCTTCTGCCCGCGAGGGGAGCTGAAGAGCTCGAACCTCCTTGACTTGCCTCTTCCAAACTTTTCCTAGTGAAGGGAAAAGAGAGTCGATGATGCCAGTGGTCAGTAAGGAAACACATGCACGCACACACACGCACACATCACTGAAAGCGTCTGGAACGAGGGGCGATTCTGAGAGTGGGAGCCGTGGCTGGCTTCCTCCTGTGAGGGACTCGGGCCATTTCCGAGACGCAGCTCGGTGCTGGCTCAGCCTTGAGGGTGCCGCTGGGCTCCGAGCCCCTTAGAGTCCCGAGCACGTGGCGTGGTCCTCCCTCCAGCCCACGAGACGCTGTCGGTCAATAACCCCAGTGGGTCTCACGGCGTCTGCTGTCCAGAGGCCCCTCCTGGGTTTGGACACTGCTGCACCGGGGGGTGGGGGGTCACAGCTCCGTGTCCAGCGCGGCGGGGAGCTGGGGGAGGAGGGAGGGAGGCCCCAGCTGCAGCCCGAGCAGGCGGGGGGACTGTGGGTGCGGGCACCTGTGCCCTGCTGAGCAGCCTCCAGATCTCGTTCTCCTTGCCGTTCACGCTGCGGGCCACGACCGCGTGAGAGGGGACCCGGGCCAGGTGGCACTGCTCGAACTCCTCCACCGGCTTCCGGGTGTTGTCCGGGCAGAGCAGCTCGTACTGGTCCCTCTCCGTCTTGTTTGGCAGGTTCTCTGGGGCAGGGAGAGGGGCGGGGTTGGGGGGACCAGACAAGCCTGCTGCAGGCAGCAGCCCTGAGCCAGCCATCGCCCCTGTCTCGCCATGGAACTTGAGCTCAAGGCGATGTCTTGCCCAGCTGACAAAACGGGGGTGTCAGAAAAAAAGGACACCCCAGTTTTTCCAGAACACTCAGAAAGGTAAAGACAGGGCTCTGCCAGCTTTGGGGCTCCGCCTAGGGATGCTGTGACTGGATTACACGGGCTGCCTTGGTGCCGGTGGGTCAAGGAAGCTGTGGCTGAGCCCCCCGTTTCCATGGCAACCCCACCTAGACACGCATCTCACAATGGAGACAAACCCAGGGACCAGCCAGGGAGCGCTGCCTCACCCACGTCTCTAGAGAGAATAAAAACAGATGGAGTGCGGTAGGCCTGCCCCCGTGGGCACCCAGCTACCGTGCTTCAGCGTGTAGCCCCTCGGGGACACTCTCCAGCAAGACAGGAAGAGGACACACTAAAGGCGTGAGTCACGGAGCTGTCCTGCGGGGAAGGGGAGGGCAGGGTGACCCAGGCCGTCCCAAGGGTGGTGGGTGAGTGAACTCTGGTGGACACGTTCCGAGGAGCATCTCTACGTGGTCAGAGCCACCGAACTGGACACGCCTGCAAGGGCGCAGAGAAACCTCCAAAACAAAACGCTGGGCGGAACATCTGGGCGGCGGGGCGGTCGCAAACGCTCAGTCCCGAGGTTCCTCGCGCCCAGCGGAACTCCCGCCAGCTCGGAGCCCAGGAGCCCAGCCCCACACGGGCAGTGGCAAGACCACACACACACACCTCGAGGACAGGCGCCCAGAACCCTGGCGCGGTGTCTGTGAGGGGGGGAGGGGGAGGCAGCGCCGCGCCCAGTATGGAGCCCATATACACAGTGTGCCAGCATCGAATTCGCTCGCTATGCGGAGTTATGACAAAATACAGTGAAAGGAGGCTGTCCCGCAGCTCTCCTCGCTGCTCTTACCAAACACCGTACTGTCCTTGACAAAAGCCACGTCTCCAGCCCCGTCTTGCAGACACCTGTGAGCGAAGGCACAGGGGGGTCAGCCCTGAGTGGCCTCCCGGGGGAACGGGGGCTTGTCTCCCGTGGGCGTCTGCTTCTCGCAGGGCGGGGCCCGGAGGGTTAGGGACAGCCCGACTGGGCGGGCAGCAGGGGCCACGACCAGGTGCGTCCTGAGGAGGAGGGGCTCAGCTGCTGGCCAGAGGACCCCACCTTTCGCTCTGAGAGCTGAGAGGGCAAAACTTTCCCTTCCTGTGTAAAACACAGTTTTGGAGCCTCTACGCCGGAAGACAAAGTCTCCATATCCTTGGCCACGTGGTTCCTGCCCCCAGGACTGAGTGGGCCAACGTGCCCTGGCCGGCAGAGAGGCGGGGAGGCCCCCCCCCACCCCCCGTCTGCAAAACTGCCCGAGCCCAGGAGGCAGACAGGGGCCAGGGGAGCGGCGTCAGCCTCTGCATGGGGGCAGAGAGGGCACAGGGTTGTCACTCGGGCAGGCAGGGCTCGCTGTCACCAGCTCAGGGAGGTGGGGCCCAGGTAGGGCAGACCAATGGCAGCCCAGACTCCCGCCATCGTGCCCAGCCAGGAGCCTGGGACTGGCTGTCTCCTGACAAGGCTCCTCCCGCCCACCTGTGTGGTGAGGGAGAGGACAGCGTCGGCAGGCAGAACCCAGGACCACACAGGGCAAAGCCAGACTCGGGGTTCTCCGGAGAGACCGAGGGGGCCACCGCCGCTGGAGTGGAGGTGAGGGTCCACCCCCCCGGGCAGAGTCGGCACCCTCCTCCCGGTGCGCAGGGCCTCTGTCTGCACCGCAGTGGGGGCTGGGCCCCCTCGCTGGTCCCTACAGGCAGGCTGAGCTCCACTGGGGGCCAGAGAAAAGGTCTCCCGGCCTGAGGACGTGTGGCACCCGGGTCGCTGGAGAAAGGACGACCGTCTCACTTACTTGAAGGCGCCGGAGTAGCCGAAGTACGGTTCCTTGGAGGAGCAGGCACATTTGTCCTCACCTGCCCCCGCACACAGGCGACACAGGTTGGGGTACTGCGCACCGTCCGCACAGGGGACACAGCTGGCGGAGAAGAAGTTGGCCACGGCTACGGGACACAGGGGAACGGACCGAGCGTGAGGCAGCCCTGGCCGCAGCCAGCCACGCCCCCCAGTGTGCCCTCTCCTCAGGCCCCGGGACAGGGGGCAGCCCCTCCCTCCACCCCTGCCAGGTGTGTGACCTCTGTGCTGAGGTTCGGAGCTCAAAAACCAGCTCCCAAGGGCAGCCGGTGCAGCGAACCCGCCAGGTTAACCTCGCCCCTGCCTTGGAGTCACCTGGACATTCACCTGTGTGACTCCTAAGTGGCTGTGTGTGAGCCAGAGTAAGAGACCCCTGCCTGAGACCACCCACCATCCCCCGGCCAGCTCACCTTCCTGAAGGGGTGCGGGCGGCCCTGCCCAGTCCAGGTACGGACGGAGCGTGCCCACAGGGATGTTCCAGCCGGCGGACCGGTTGAGGCCAGTGTGGCAGGACCTCACGCCTTGCAGCTGGTTCAGTTGGAAGCTGCTGTCCCTCCTCACCACGGCCACAGCATAATAGTGCGTCTGCCGTGCTGCCCAGGGGCAGAGAGAAACAAGTGCTCAGCCTGGACCCCTGGGGGGGGCGGGAGAACGGCCCCTGGTGGGCAGGGGACCCGGGTGCTGCAGGTTCTCCTGGCGCAGAGTTGCCCGGGGCCTGCCCTGGTTCCCCGGGGAGCACAGGCTGTCTGCCGGCGGGTCGGCCTCCGCCCCAGAGCGCCCACCAGGGACTCGATGCCTTCAGGCATGATGCCGCCGAGACCCCACATCGGCGACTCATCCGCTCTGACTCCACAGAGCCCGGGGCCAAGGCCGCAGCGCCCCCAGCTCCGGGCACCCAGGGAGCACTCACCCTCCTCGGTCCCGTACACCTCCGCCGCCACAGGCCGCAGTCTGTGCGGGTCCTGCCCCGCCTCGTACACCAGACCGCTGTCAAGGGTGATGGCATCTGCCCTGTTCGCCTGAAAGCAAAGGGGCTGACCAGCTTCAGGAGGAAGCCCTCCCCACCCCAGGCAGGGGGCCTGCGGGGCATCAGGAGGTTCTGTGTGGCTGGGGGGCTCCTCTAAAGGGTCAGCTTTGGATCATGTCCACTGACATCCCATGACAGGGGCACCAGCTGAGGGTCCCTCTTTTGGGGCAACGAGCACCAGCCCAGCTGCTTTAGCCCTTGAGGGGGGCACGCTGACTCATTCCTGGGCCTGCCCCCCTGTGCAGGGCGGGGCAAAAACAGGTTTATACTTGCGAGTGTGTGAGACACAGTTTATTCTCCTATTATGGTTGGTTATTTATTGAGGTACTTTCTTTTTTTTAAAATTTTATTTTAATCATTGTTCAAATACAGTTTTCTCCTTTTTACTCCCAATCCAGCCCCCCCTCCCACCCCTCCCCACTTCCCTCCCATTACCACCCTCCCCCTAGTTTTTGACCATGTGTCCTTCAAGTTTGTTCCCTTAATGAGGTACTTTCCACAAGAACGACTGCAAACCTACTTCCGCCCACCCCGAGTAATTCCGCTGAGTACACCCTTCCGCAGGGGCTTACGTTTCAAGTTCACGCTCTGGACACTTTCTCCCCGAGACACCTTTGCTCCCTAGTCACTTCAAGCTCTTTTTTATGGAAGAGGAAATGTAGTTATTTAGACACCTTGAAATCCTAACAAACCGTGTTTATCTTTATGCTCTTTGGCTCCTTACTTCTCACACGCTCACGTAGTTCTTGCATTTGCAATCTGGCGTAGGTGATGTTTTGTCGACTGCTTTATTCATCTAAAACCACCCATTCTCTCACTTCTGTAGAGCCTTTGTGGATGTTATTGACTTCGTGCTGTTTCATTATAATGTGGTGGTTCTGTAGTTTATTAAACAATCCCCCCCACACGTCCCACACTTGGGCTGCTTCTGACATGCTGGCTGCCGAAACGGTGCCTGCAGGAGCAGCTCTGTCCTCGTGGCTGGCTTTTCCTTCTTTCCGATGACCTGTCACCACGTGGCGGGCATCTGAGGGTGGAGTCACACAGGCAAGGAGCCTGTTTATCTTCCCAGCTCTGGCTGCTGCTGCTGCTGCCGCTGCTTTCCAGAAGATTCATGATGCCAGCTTAGAATGCCACCAAGTGCAGGGATCATTTCGCCACAGAATCACTGGCAGGACAGGCTTTCATCTTAGTACATTATTACTTTAGAAAACGCAAGTGTTGCCCGGACCAGTGTGGCTCAGTGGGATGGGCGTCGTCCCGCAAGGTGAGGGGTCATGGGTTCAGTTCCCAGTCAGGGCACCTGCCAGGGTTGGGGGTTTGGTCCCCAGTTGGGGCGGGTATGAGAAGCAACCAAGTAATGTTTCTCTCTCATATCGAAGTTTCTCTCCCCTCTTTCTCCTTCCCTCCTCCTCTCTCTAAAAATAAATAAATATTTTTTAAAAAAAGAAAGAAAAAAGAAAGTGCTAACAAATTGCTTTGGTTTGTTTTTCTCTGATTATCAAGAGAAATGTTGTATAAGTATTTTTATTAATTATGAATTCCACTTATGAATACTCCATTCCTATCATTTTTTTTCGTGTGATCCTACACTTCCTACCTGTTTGAATCCGTTCTTTACAGACTGTGAATTGTGATCACTTGTCAGAGCCGACGCATATTCACTCCGGTGCTTTCTAAAATTTCTGTGTAAATGTTTCTACTGGCTATGAACCGATACTTTTATATTTTAAAATCTGTTAGTTTACTTCATCATTTAGTTCATTGCTAAAAAGCTAAGCGATGCCTCTTTCTGCTATAGTGCTGCTGATTAATCAATCCTCTAGCTTTTCAATAATGCATGTTTCCGTTTTAATCATTTAATGGACCCCAACTTTAGTTTGATGTATGATATGTAAAACTGATTTCAAATCAGACGCTGGTGAAAAAGGCAAATTTTGTGACCTCATTCCCAGGTGTTCGGGTTGAACAGGTCAGAACAGAGCCCAGGAATTGGCATTTTAAACCGGCAAGAAAGACTGGAGCTGTGTGTCCACAGGCCATAGTTACAAAATTATATCCTAAAACGTTGCTCAAACTAGATTCTTTCCCCTACACACTGGCTCCGACAACCTAGCTCTTCTTGAAGACTTTTACACGGATTACCCGCTCTGTGCTGGAGACCAGTACCCTCAACCACGGCACACAGGACATATGTGTGGGGTGAATCGGCAAAAATTATCTCAGTAGGTCTTGCACCCCAGCAAACAGACGGAATCTGAAGTCATCCAAAAGTCACGATCCTCTTGTCTCTCTCTGGAAGTGTCTTGGACAAGTGTCTTTCTCGTGCCCCGTGTCTCATGTCCACAACACAATGCGGTGGCTGTGACCGGCTGAGCTCACTGCTGTCAGGGCTTAGAGGTCACGGCCTTCTAGGGGTTTTACCTTGCAGGGTGACCTTGACGCTTGCCAGTGTTACATGGTCATCTGCTGCTGTGTCCTTTCTGCACAGCTGTTACCAGCAATTTATGTTGGGGTCCCAGTTTCCCGCCCCCCCCCCGCGCATGGTCTCCTGGCTTTTGAATGTTGGTTTCTGCATTCCAAAGAGCCTCCTGTCTTGTGAGAGAGGACTGTTCCCAACTGACAAGCACCCAGGAAGGAAAGCAGAGGGAGGAGGGGAGAGCAGGGGGTTTACATTTTATTCCATGCCTTTCCCCTCCCTTCCCTCCGCTTCCCTTCCTTTCCATTTGGTTGCCCGACGCAGGACACTGACTCACCGCGATGGCCTGGATGCACTGGAGGTAGGAGTTTCTTCTTGTGCAGATCACAGAGGGCCCACGCACTCGTTCCAGATTCCGCTTCAGCCTGGAGCACTTGGCTGCCTCTGCTTGTGATATGGTGCACCATCGAACGCCTCTCCTGCGGATGGCCCGACTCGGTCCTGGGAGAAAAAGGCCAAGGAGTAAGGCTTCTACCGCTGCTCGCGGAAGAGACCGCCTAACCCTCAGGCGGCGTTTTCCAGACCCCTCCACCTCTCTCTGCCCCTTCCCTTCCCTCTCCAGCCTGCGGCTAAGCCAGGCCTCTCTGCTCAGGTGGAGGTGTCTCGCTGGCCTCATAATGAGCACCCTGTCCTGGTCAGAGGACCATGATTCTCAATAAATTAGAGGAGACATTCAGAACCTCTGGGTTCTTTTCCTTCCTGCAACTAGAAAAATGATGATGGCCCCTTGCATCAGTTTATGGAGTATTTCCACCTGCCTTGTCCCGCTTGAACTTGGGAGGTGGGCAGGAAAGGGATTGTTGCTCCTCATGTGGACACTGGCTCTTGAGGAGGCTGAGTGGCTGGCTGCTGGGCAGTGGCAAAGTCCAGCCTAAATTCCAGGTCCCCTAGATTGTTGTGTCCATAAGCATCTCCCCCGGGGATGCCAAGGGAACTAAAGAAAATGTACCTGACTCTTTGTCAGGAGCCGCAGTAAGTGGTGTACCAAGTGGGTCAGCGCGCCTGAGTTACAACCATTCACCTCTGAGTCAGAAAGACAGATTCCCCCATCCAGCCCGGCTTTGTTGCTGGAATCTACACAGTCAGGGAGAGGGCTGAACCAGATTGGCCCAGAGCTCTTAAAAATCCCATGGATGCCTGGTAAAGGGTATCTATGAACAATCTACAGTGGACATTGTACTAAAATGGTGACGACTAAATGTTCTGCCCCCTAATATCAGGAACAATGCAAGAATTTCTACTCTCACTTCTTCTATTCAACACAGTACTGGAGGTCCTCGCCACAACAATAAGGCAAGAAAAAAAATCCAGGCAGGAAAAGAAATAAAATGGTCTTTCTTTGTAGATGATCCTCTGTGTAGAGAATCCTAAGGAGTCCCCAGAAGACTATTAAAAGTAGTAAGTACAAAGGATCATGAGTCACAAGGTCAATATACAAAAACTAAATATATTTTGGCATACAAACAATTGCACGATCCAAAAAGAAAATTTAAAATATAATTCTATTCATAATAACATCAAAAAGAATAATACCCAGGACAATATTTAACAGAAAAATGCAAGGCTTGTCCAAGGAAAATTATAAAACTTGACTAAATAAATGGGGAGACATTTGTATTTGTACTTGATAAGACTCAATATTGTTAAGATGGTAATTCTCCCTAAATTGATATAGAAATTCAACACAATCTCTATCAAAATTCCAGCAGGCTTTTTCATTTGTTGCAGAAATTGATAAACAAATTCTAAAATATATATAATAAATAAATAAATTTATAGCAAATAGCCCCCACATTTATATAATTTATCATTAATATTTTATAACATCTATAGGAAAGCCAAAAACAATTTTGACAAAGAGCAAAGTTGGAGGAATTTTACTTCTTGATTTTAAAACATACTCCAAAGCTACAGCCATCAAAACAGTTTGGTTTTAGCATAAAGATAGACACATATGGTTCAATGAGACAGATTTAAGAGTCCAGAAGTAGATTCTTATCTGTACAATTGATTTTTCCAAAAGGTGCTAAGGCACATAGCAGAAAAGACAATCTGCTAACAAAGGGTGCTCCTGCCATCAGATGCCCACATACAAAAAGACGAAGCCAGAGCCCCACCTCACACCACCCACAAAAACCAACTCAAAAGTGGATCACGGAATTCACTGTAAGAGAGGAAACAAACTTTCAGAAGAGAACACAAAACTTTGCCGCCTTAGGTTAGGCAAAGATTAATTAGCATGGCGCCAAGAGCACATCCATCCATTAAAAAATCAATAAACGAGACCTATCCAAATTCAAAATTGCTGTGCTTCGAAAGGCAGCAAAGAAAATAAAAACAAAGTCCAGCAGGCTGGGAGAAGATGTCTACAAAGAGCCCTTGAGAGCCCGAGGACAGGAAGACCAACCACCCGGTCAAAACCAGGCGAAAGAGAGGAAGGGACATTTCTCCAAAGAAGACGCGTGAATGGCTACTAAGCACCTGAAATGATGCTCGACGTTTTTAGTCGCCAGGACAATGCAGATTAGAAGCGCGATGAGATCATCGAGTCGCAGCCATTGGCATGGTGACCACTAAAACAGAGGACGACAATGGGGAGAGAGGGGACCCCTCGTGTGCTGCTGAGAATGGGAAGCGGTCTGCGCTCTGGAAAAGCGGTGAACACAGACAGAGTTACCGCGTGGCCCGGCGACCCCACCTCTAGACACCTAGAAAGAAGTAACAGCGTCTGTCCACATAAAGACGGCCGCGTGGACATTCAGAACAGCCGAAAAGCGGAAACAGCCTGGGTGCCCGCCGACGGTGAGCCGCACGCCCTTCCCGTGGGACCGCCCTCGGTGCTGAGAAGGAAGGAATGGCTGGTGGGCACCACGAGGTCAGGGAGCCTCGTTCACGCTCCAGACACAGGAGAGCACGCGCGGTGTGACTCCCCTCCTGTGACATGTCCACAGAGGCCACTTGGCAGACACAGAGAGCAGAGGAGTGGTTGCTGGAGGCTGGGGGGAGGAGGACGTGTAAATAAGTGGTTGTAAGGATGGACACAGCAAGGGGATGGACGTGTGCTGAACCTAACTGATGGGGTCAGGGGGGCCGTCACACCCCTTGGAAAAACCGCTGACAGTCCCTGAAACAGGTGAATTTCGTGAGTTGTAAAACGCACGCCAGTAAAGCTGTTACAAATAAAACACAGGAACTCTGGGTTGCCTAAGCCCCCGTCCCTGCGGCGTGGGCTTTGGGGGGGGGCACCCTCAGCCATCTGCCTCCCCTGCTCATGGGCCACGCCCTGCTCAGTCAGCCCCAAGGTGTCAGAGGCAGGCTGGGAGGCTGGGATGGGGAGACCCGTGGCTCCCAGGGCTGAGGAGTGGGGGTGCCAAGACAGCCGCAGACACAGGTGCAAACGGAAGCAGCTCTGAGCCAGAGCCCTGGCCCCTGGCCCGTGACCACCTCCTCGCCTCTCGGCCCCTCCCAGGGGGCCGCACCTGTGCTGTGCACCCAGCAGGCCACACACAGGGAGCGGAAGGAAGTCCGTCCTGGCCCGGCCAGGTCCCGCCTTGGAGAAGAGAGGGATGAGCAGCACCCGCGGAGAGGAATGTGGAGAAGGGGACCAGAAAGCAGGGGCAGGCAGGGACAGCACCGTACTCCCTAGGTTTGGGGGCATAAGCTCAGGGCTGCTCTCCCACGACCCCCTTCCGGCAGACAGGAGGGGGTGTGCTGGGCTGGAGCGGAACTCGGCAGGGGGTGGGGGAGGCTTTCACCCTGCCCCCGGGGCTCAAGTGCTGGTGGTCACAGCCCTTTCGGCTGCTGCCTGGGACCCTGCCCTTCCCTGAGGACGCCCCGAGCTCCGGCACTTACATCGCCAACATCCGTCACCGGTGGGTGCCCGTGGGGCACCCCAGAAACTACTTCAGATATTTGGGTGCCTTCTAGTCCCTTCTAGTCTGGGCACATTTGAAACCAGACGTCGATTTCCTTCCCCCTCGGAGAAAGGGGTCTCACCAGGAGGTCTGAGCCACCGCCTTGCCCCTCTCTGGTGGGGGGCGGGAGCCAGGGCACTGCACCCGTGCCTGCCCCGAGCAGGGGCCGCCCTGCTGCCGCCCGCACCGCTGCGTGGGCGGGCGTGTGGACCACTCTTTCCAGAGAGGAAACCGGCTCCGAGAGGCTCTGCCCCGCCCAGGCAGGCACAGCCCTGGCGGCAGCTGGGGTCTTGAGTCCCAGGTCGGCTGTGTGTCTTGGGCAAGTCACTCTCCTGCTCTGGGTCTCACTGCGTCCCAGGTAAAGCGCGTGTAACAACAGCACCACGGGTGCCAAAGGTCCTGCTCCCACGACGGGGGACAGGGTCTGCGGAGGCGGCCCTTTGGGAAGCTCGGAGCGGCTCTCGGCGCGCCCCCGGCACATCTCAGAAGCGCGGGTTCCGACTCCTCCCCAGGTGGGTGGGCGGGACGGCCGCGCCGGGTGACGGCAGACACTTCGAGCCAACCCCGCAGGGCGCAGCGACCAGGGACCCGCACTCACCGAGGGCCAGGAGGGACAGCAGCGCGAGGAAGAGGAGCTTCATGTCCGAGGTCCCGACGAGACTCCCGCCAGCGAAGGCTCTGCCACCTGCGCCCGCTCCGCTTCCCTTTATCCAGGGCTTGCTGACCTCACCGGCTTGGCCCCGCCCCGTGGCCCCGCAGGCGCCCCTGTCGCCCCCTCCCCCCAACCGGCTCCTGGAGGCTAAAGGTGGGGGGGGTGCGGGGGAGGAAAGGGGCCTGGGCAGGGCTTCGCACCTGGAGAGAGAGGAAACCCAGCCCACAGCCACCTGACCGGTCTGCCCCGGGGGCTGCCTCCCTTTGGGAAGTCCTTTCCCTCCCGCTGGTCTGGAAGCCCCTGGAGAGTGGCAGCCCCTGGGTTTGGTCCTCCCCCTGGTCTCAGTGCCGCCTGCAGGGTGGGATGCAGAGCAGGGGTCCCAAGAGGAGTATTTGTGAATCATCCTGACTGTGACCCTGACCTGTCCTTTTGTCCGGGAGCCGGCTAGGGCAGGCGGGGCTGCCTATTGCCCCGGCGCCACAGCGAACCCACTGCCTCACCTGAGGTCGGCGGCAGCCTGGGACACCGCGGAGATGAAGGGACGACAGTGGCCCCCCAGAGGCTGACCTGGGCTGTCCACGGGGTCCCTCCCGGCCCTACTGACACCACAGTGCGGCTCCCAGAAAACAGAACCACGGGTCTCAGAGGGGAAGCCCACCCGCCGCCCAGACCCCAGTGGCTGTCTCCCTGCCCCCTTTTTGCCAAACAGGAGGAGGTTCCACTCCACGTTTTGTTCGTTTTGTGACGGAGTGAGGTAGGAAATGGAACCTCATGTTGATAAATGTCCTGCTTAGGCCTCAGTACCTGAGCTGACCAGCTCCTTCCCCACTTCGGGGAGCTGTTTTTAAATTCTAGAGCTAGAATTCTGCTTTCCGGAAGAGGTCTTGTAAATGCACTCCCACGATGCACGGCGGCTCGCACACGAGGGTCTCCCGGGCAGCCCTGCGTGTCGTTAACCAGTTGGAAGCAAACTAAACGTCGTCTCTGGGAGGTGTCACACGGAGTGTGGTGCCGTGTGCGCAGTGGGACACACAGGGGGCCCCAGCGAGGATAGGCCTCCCCGGAGACACTGATGTGGCCTTATCTCCAAGAGAAGCTGAGTGAAGACGTAAGGCACGAACAGGGGGGGAAATCACAGACCACCTGAACATGCCCTCTTGACCCGGCAGCCTGGCCAGCATGTGACCCTGAAAAGCTGGCCCTGGCTCTGCATTTCCTGGAGCAGATGGGTGTCGGCCCCCCGGAGAAGCTGTGCTGCGGAGGGTGGGCACGCAGCAGGCCCTCGGCCGTGGAGATGCAGACCCCGCCGAGGCTTTGAGGCTCTCGTGGAAGCTCCCGGGCCCCCGCCCTGGGCGGGGAGCGTGCCACAGCACGGGATGGGGTCTGACCGGGGATCCTGCTCTGTGGGTGCAGGCCGGGGCCCGGGGCTTGGTGCTGGCTTTGCCAGCTGGGCTCCAGGAGACAGGGCCAGGGTCTCTCGCTATTTGGAAATGCAGTATGGCAACATTAAAAGAGGCTTTCATCAATAATTGCAATAAGCTCTTTCAAAAAGAGTGAGGAAATGCAAAGTTGACTAATGCTCGGGAGCGCTGAAGCGTCTTTGTCCCTAAAGAAGCAGCTCAGCGTCACCGTCCCATGATTCTGGAAGAATTGAGAACCAGCACAACCCCCATCTCTGTCTCCGGGTGCAAACCAGGAAAAGGTTGGGATGGGAGGTCGGAGGCTCCTGGTTCCCGCTGTGTCTGGCACAGCGTTGGCAGGAACGCAGAGAACCCGGGGCTGGACTCCAGGGGCGCCCCGGAGGCGGGACCGGGGTGGGCAGCAGGGCAGGCTGCAGGGTGCGACCAGACCTCAGCTGGACACACGCACAACAGCCCTCCGAGACCATCTACAGAGGAAGCTGATGTAAAACTGCCCAGAAAATGAAGTCCAGCCAATCTATTATCAACATGCGTGCCTGCATGCATGCATTCATTCATTCATACCAGAACTGGTGGGTGCCACGAGGGACACAGAGAAGAGGGGACCGTCCTGGACAGCAGGAGCTCATGGCACGATGGGGACTGGGGGCAGGGGACACAGTCAAGCACGTCTGTCATACATGCCATCTGGGAAAAGCAAGGCAGGTGGCACCCAGAGGAGCAAAGAGCGGCCAGTTCCCATCATGCAGGCTGCAGAGGAGTTTGAAGAAGAGCCTCTGACCTGGGCACCTGAAGGAAGGGGTGGGGTTTCTGCAGGGAGAGCATTCCTGCAGGTAGAGGGAGCAGCCAAGCCAAGGCCCGGAAGCGTGGACTCAGTGACCAGTGACCGCTGACCTGGGCATGAGGGGCAACAGAAGGTCACTCTGAGCCTTCCGGCCTGGAACTCCTGTGGGAAGGGTCAGCATCGCCTCCCCTGCCCTGACCTCCACACCAGGTGCCCGTGGGCAGCTCCCCCTGTGGGGCCCGCAGTGCCCAAGTGCAGTGCATTGAATACGGAACTCACCCGCTTCCTCCACCCCTGCCCCGTCTCTCACACCCCTACCCCTTCCCTCCAAACCCTTAGATGGAGAGCCTCGGAGTCATCTTCAGGTCCTCCGGCCAGCTAGCCCTGGGCATGCGATGGGCCCCTGATGGTCAATGTTGGTTGAATGAATGAATGAGCAAGGCGGAGGAGGGACAGGAGGCGGGTGAAGGTTCCTGCTTACCGAGGGTCAAGCCTGAAGACCAGTGGGGCCAGCGCTGGCTGTGCTGGCCACCCAGAGCTGGGTGCACGCGGGAGCTGGACCAGACCTCGGGCAGCCTGCAGGCAGGTAGGACGCAGGTTTCCAAACGCTGAGACAGAGGCACGATGTGACCGTACGGAGTGCAGAGAAGGTGGCTACGGTGCCAACCGCCGTGTAATTGGCAGGAGCTGGTTAACGAACAAGTGAGGGGTGCTAACTCTCTTCCCCCAGTCCCTCTCCGTCCCCCAAATTCCTACAGTGACCCTTTATCACCCCAAGGACGGCCCCAAGCTAAGCCCTTCCAACCACCCCTGCCTTCCAGGGGGGCCTCTGGCTTCCGACCCCAAGAGGACTATTGGAAGGGAAATGAGACTTCTGGGCGGAACCGGCTCCAGATGGAACAAAGGACACACGGAGTTCCCAAGACACACACTCACGCAGGGCTCCGGGCTGCCCGACGGTGGGGGGGACCCCGGCCGTGTTTCCTGCCCTTGCCAGTGGTGTGAGGTGACTGGCTGCGTAGGGAGCCACCTGTTCTATGTTTAAGACCATGTGGTGGGTTGTTAAGCCCTTGCTGGTTCCAAATCAGTCACGGCGGGAGCATTTACACCATGGAGATTAGCAGACGCTGTACATCGGGGCATTTCTGCCCCTGGAGAGCCAGCGGACGGCACACCACTGCGGTGCCGGCGTGGTTTGGAAGCACGCGGCATCTGTATTAGTGTGGGGTGATGGGGGGCTCCCAGGAGAGAGACGAGGTAGTAACCCCTAACACCGGGGTGGCACTTTTCAGTCTGGAGAGGGCTGTCCATGCTCTTGTCGCCTGTGACCCTAACAGCTCTGTGCCTTAAGGAAGTCTCTGTTTCTGCTCTAAACACAGGTACGCGGAGGGCTTCCTGTGGCCGCACAGTGCGTGCGCTGCAGACACAAAGCGGCTAGCCCCGAGCCTCCCCCAACCCGGGCTCTCTTCCACGGGGCCCAGCACTCTCCGAGCGCTCGGGGCAGGCGGAGGCCCCGGGGTGGTGGCCTTTGCTCTGGATCTCAGCAAGGACGGGAGCCCCTTCTGCGGACCAGGCACCGGCCAGCCCTTTGCCCACACTGGCCGTGGCTTTGGTTCTTACGGAAACACACAGACTGCCCCGTTAGGCCTGCTGTCTGGGTGAGGGGGCCGAGACAAAGCAGCCTGTCCACAGCCACACAGTGAGGTCCGTGGCAGATCTGCAGACTTCGAGAGTTGCCACTGACCCCTGGCCCCTCCCCAGGGGTCCCCTACTGTTGCTGATCATCCCTGTGCTGCTCCCCGAAGAGAGAGCAGAGAGTGAAAAAGAACGAGGGAGAGATGGACAGAGGGGCGCCCTGCCCCTTCGCCTCTGAGGTGGCCATGATTTCTAGAGCAAGGCCTTCTCTCTCGTTGGCCCTGAGTGGGCTCCTCGCACAGAGCCGAAGGTCCTGGAGGGTCCTCGGGTGCACCTGTGGGTAGATGCCCGCGGGAGGGAGCTCAGCTGGAGGGCTGCAGGCAGGAAAATGGTGACTTTATGAACTAATATAGCTTGTTGCCAAATGTTGCCCAATTTACAAAACAACCACAGAGACAAGGAGCTTCTGTCTCCTCGGACAGCTCTCTTCCTCCCCCTCCCCCGCCCCTCCTAATCACAACCCGGGTTTCCCGTTTGCAAGATTCCCAGCCTCCAGCCAGCGTAGCGACCCACGCCCCTGGCGGAAATCTGATCTCCTTGGGCATCGGATCCCACAGCCCCCGAGATAAGCATGTGCAGGAGGCACGGCCCAGGGAGACTTCCAGGAAGGTGCCAGCCCAGGGCAGCCCCAGCGGCTGGCGCAGGGCCAGCCATGCAAACACCTTCCCAGAAGGAATGAGGTCCCTGTCCAGGGAAACCTCCAGGCGGAGACGGTTGACCTTGGCCCCCTTTTGCTGCCCGTCCCCGGGGGCTGCACTCTGGCAGGGAGGGGCCTGCTCTGCAGCCTCAGCGTCTGCAGCTCGGCTGCCCGGAGGCGACCCCCGTGTCTGCTCCCCGCTCCCTGCTCAGGGAAGGCAGGCGGCCTTCGTGCAGAAGGCGCTGGAGCTGGGCCCTCCGAGGGGCAAGAAGCCACCGTCTTCCTCCACCTCCCTGGGCAGCACCGGGGCGCCACCTCCTCGGCCCCTCCAGGACGGGAGTGTCCAGCCGCTGACCTGTGCTCTGGACAGACTTTCTTTCCCAGTCCCTCCGCCCCTGTCTCCTCTCCACAACCTGGCAGGCTAGGGCGCACGGGGGAGGTAATGTGGTTGGATGCCTGGGTTTGAACCCACTCCACCCTGAACAGCTGCCTGGGCCAGTGCCAGCCTCTCCA